TCTTTGACTTATTTCACTTAGCATAATGCTCTCTAGCTCCATCTATGTCATTGCAAATGGCAAGATTTCATTTTTTTTTTTTTTAAGATTTTATTTATTTGACAGAGAGACAGCGAGAGAGAGAACACAAGCAGAGGGAGTGGGAGAGGGAGAAGCAGGCTTCCCGTGGAGCAGGGAGCTCAATGCAGGGCTCGATCCCAGGACTCTGGGAGCATGACCTGAGCCGATGGCAGACGCTTAACAACTGAGCCACTTGGGTGCCCAAGATTTCATTCTTTTTAATGGCTGAGTATATTCCATTGTGTATGTACACCACATCTTCTATATCCATTCATGTATGGATGGACACTTGGACTGCTTCCAACTCTGGGCTATTGTGAGTAATGTTGTTATAAACATAGGGGTGCATCTTTTTGAATTAGTGTTTTCATTGTCTTTTGGTGAATACCCAGTAGTGGGATTACTGGATCATATGGTATCTCTATTTCTTATTTTTTAAGGAACCCCCATACTGTTCTCCAGAGTGGCTGCACCAGTTTGCATTCCCACCAGCAGTGCACGAGTGTTCCCGTTTCTCCACATCCTCACCAACACCTGTTATTTCTTGTCTTTTTGATTTTAGCCATTCTGACAGGTGCGGGGTGATTTGCTTTGTTTCTTTATACTATGGATTTCTTGCCTTTTAGCGTGCCTTGTGATTTTTTTGTTGAAAGCTGGACGTGATGTATCAAGTCAAATGAACTGAGGTACTTATGCACTTAGAGTGAGGTTTCATGTTGACCTGACTAGGGACTAGGCTGTGTCCACTGTAGCTGTAGGTGCCAGACACATCACTTTCCCGTAGTTACCTTGTTTTTCCCTCCTCCCTGCTTTCTTTGGGCTTCCCTAACAACAACTTCTTTTTTTTTTTTTAAGATTTTATTTATTTATTTGACAGAGAGATAGAGAGAGAACACAGGTAGGCAGAGGGAGAGGGAGAAGCAGGCTCTCCGCTGAGCAGGGAGCCTGATGCGGGACTCGATCCCAGGACCCTGGGACCATGACCTGAGCCGAAGGCAGTGGCTTAACCGACTGAGCCACCCAGGCACCCCTTAACAACAACTTCTTAAATGGAATCTGTCTTGCAGCTCTCTGAATTATGCTCAACTGTTATCTGTTATATGGTTTGGGGAGGGGAAGTGTTCTATAATTGAATAGTAAACCTCAGTGCTTCAGTGGGCCTGAGGCTCTGGGCTGTTACCTTTGGAAGCATTTCTTGGCCTTTGCTTTTTCTCTACTTTCCTGAGACAGGAAGCCAGTGGGGGCTGGAGGTGGCCACTGGCCCTTCCCCCTGTCAGATGAGGGCCTGGTTAAGTCAGTTCTCTTGGAAGGTAGACTTTTGTTATGGAGGAGAAACATAGTCGCTTCCCCCCAACCCTACCTGAAGTAGGAGCACATCTTCACCAGGACATCCTGAGGTAAAACCCATGAAAGTCTGGGTCTCCTCTGAGACGGAGCCCCCATGAGTTCTTACCTCTGAAGCTAGTTCGCACTCAACCTGTGCACTTTGTAAAAAATTACCATTTAAGTATTCCTCCCACTGACCACCTCCAGCAGCTTCTGCCTCAGGTAAGGTTATCTTGGTTATGATTTTCTGTATTTGCCTGTCGCCCCAGATTTCGGGGGTGGCTGTTTGCCCTATAACCCTAATTCTCTGTGAGTCTAAGAAAATTTGTTGATTTTCAGTTTGTTCAGCCTTTTTTCTTGTGAGGACAGGAGTGACCATTTCCAAGCTCTTTACGTGTTGAAGTCGAAACCAGAAGTCAACTCTAAGTTACTGTAACCCTGTCCAATTAATTGGTTATCTTTTTATTGTTGAGTTGTAACAGTTCTTTACATATTCTGGATACTTGTCACTTACCAGATACTTTCTCCCATTCTGTGGGTTGCCTTTCCACTTTCTTGATGGTGTCCCTTGAAACCAAATGTTTATAATTTTGATGGGGTCTAATTTATTTTGTTGTTGTTGCTTATGGTTTTGGCTTCTGAGAAACCATTGCCAAATTCAAGGTCATGAAGATTTATGCCTGTGTTTTCTTCTGAACGTCTTTATGGTTCTAGCTTTTATGTTTAGGTCTTCAACTCATTTTGAATTCATTTGTGTATGTGATGTGAGGTAGGGCTCCCGCTTCATTCTTTTGCATGTGGACATCCAGTTCTCCCATGTGCCATTTGTTGAAATGACTATTTTTTCTCCATTGAGTTGTCTTGGCACTCTTGATGCGAAGCAGTTGACCGTAGATGTTTGGGTTTATTTCTGGACGCTTGCTTCTGCCCCACTGATCCGTGTGTCTCTTCTCTCTTCTCATGCCAGCACCACACAGTCTTGATTACTGTAGCTTTGGAGTGAATTTTGAAATTGGTAAGTGTCCTCAACTTTGTTCTTCTCTTAAAAAGATTGTTTTGGTCATCTGGGTGCCTTGCGCTTCCATTCAGCACTCCCAGTTCAGCTTGTCAGTCTCTGCAGAGAAGTCTGCGGGTATTTTGATCGGGATTGTGTGAAATCCACAGCACAATTTTTCATTATTTCTCAAGTCCCATTTCTTTCTTCTAGATTCGATTTCCCTCTTGTTGAATTACTATCCTTTAGTGGTTTGGTAAAGGCCTATAGAAATAGTCTGTTTTTGAAAATGTTTTCGTTTCATTCTTACTCTTGAATGATTCTAATTTCTCTAAAATGGATCTAAAATTCGAGAGTAAAAGTTATTTTCCTTGAATTCTTTGAGTATAGTATTCTATTGTCATTTGGCATCTCTCGTTGCTCATGAGATGTCTATTGTCAGTCTAGTGGCTGGTGTTTTGGTTGGTTTGGCTTGACAAAAAATCTGTTTTTTTCTCTGAAAACGTTAAGATTGTCCCCTTGTCCTTGATGTACCATAGATATGCTATAATGCTCCCAGATGTGCATTTGGTTTTTATTAATTCTACTCAGGACTCAGTCAGTTCTTTTAATTTGAGGAATCATATCTTACCTCAGTTCTGAAAAATGTTCTATTTTCATTTTAATGGCACTTCTTCCCCATTCTCTATATTATTTTTCAAATATTTCATCAAATTCACCATTATTTTCAGGCAGCTACCACTGAATGCATCGTTGAGTTTTTAAAATTTTTCAGAAATGATGTTTTTCGTGTCTAGAATTTCTGTTCATGCCTCGTCCACGCTGCCCACGCTGTTTTCCTCCCTCCCTGCCCTCTGCCCCATCCTCCCCGTTACCTCGTGAATGTGTTCAGTGTTTGTCTGAAACTCCCTTTCCCAGTTGTTCATTGTCCTCAGTGCTGGGACCTGCGCTCTGGCAGGTGGGTCTGCCGGTGCGCCCGTGGTCCGCCTGTGCCCGTCAGGCGGGGCCTTCAGAGCGCGTGGTTTCCCACGGCAGCCAACCCCCGCAGGACCGTTCTGTGTTTGCCTTTGCTGGGTCCTTACCTGATGCGTGGGGCTGTGTGAGGCCAGGGGATTCGGGTTTGTCCGGCGCCTCCCACAGCTGACTCTGCCCTGGCCCCATGGCCCTGCGGCTGCCCCAGCCGCTGCTCACCGCACTCCTCCTCCTGGCTCACGTGCCACTTATGCCTGGTCTGCGCCCAATGCTCTGTCACCCCGCGCTCCAGCCCCAGGGGGTCGCCTCGATCCTTGCCTTCCCTGGCCTCTTGGCGAACCGTGGCCCTGCAGCCCCTTCTCCTTGGAGCTGTGACACCTCCGTCTGCCTGGCCTCCTCTCCTGCTGACCGCTCTCCCTGGGAGTTTGGTCCCTGCTGTCTCTCTGCCCTCAGAGTTCACGTCCGCCCTCCTGGCCTCCCGGACTGCCCCGTGCTCAGCCTCCTTCTGCAGCCTCTGGTCCTCTGAGCTCCAGACCTGTCTGTCCCACCGGTGCCTCTCTTGGCAAGTCTGACACTTGCCTCAGCCCACATCTATGCAGCTCAGCTCTGGGCTGCCCCCTGCACACGCCTGCTTTCCTCCAGCTCTCAGACCATGGCCCCGGCCCCTGGGTCACGCGGCCACCCCCCGTTCTTCACACTCGCCCTCACTGCCGCCCCCTGGCCCGGGCAGCACATGCCGAGCCTCCTCCTCCACAGTCGTGGTGCCCCCCCTGCTCCTGCTGCAGGCCCCTGTCCGTCCGCACAGCAACCGGACTGACCTCCAGCTGTGGTCGCCCTGTGCATGCTGTCCCGTGGCTCCCCGTGCTCTTGGCTTGAGGCAGAAGCCCTCTAGCAGGCAGACAGGCCCCCAGCCGCCTGGCATCTCGCCCCTGCTCACCCTGGCCACATTCTCCCCACTCCAGGGCCTGTGCCTCTCCCTGCTGCCCCTGCAGGCCTGGACGGGCTGCTCTGACGCGGACTCCTGCCACCACCCCCCAGCCCCAGCTCTGCTCTCAGCTGTGGGCTTACAGCCTTGCCTGCCCCTCTGATGACAGTCTGTCTCCAGTGTCACCACCGGTGCTGTTCCAGCTGGGTCCCCAAGGACCCTGGCCCCCCCGGCAGGGCCCAGCCCACAGCTGCCCCTGGGGCCTGTGCTCAGCTTGTCTCGGGGGTGGGTTCTCCCTGAAGAGGGGTTTGTCTCCCTCTGCCGTGTCCTCAGGCCCGACCCCAGCCCAATGCAGGGTGTGATATCGAGCACTAGGGAGGAGTCCCGTGGAGTGGAGGGTGGGCAGGTAGAGCAGGGGAGGAGGGGGAGAGAGCTTGCTCACACTTGTGCCTTTCTCTGCCATGGTGGGAGGGCTGGTTTCGGGGTGTCCCCATCCTGGGCCTCCTGGACCTTGAGGTCCCTGTCTGTGCCCTGTGGCTGCCCCGGGAGCCCCGGGCATGTGGGGGGCGGGGCGTGGGCAAGCCCTCCTCCCAGGATGTGGGAGGCGTGTGGCAGGAGCTGGGGCTGCGTGTCCCTGGTCCCGAGGCCATAGCCAGGCCTATTCCAGAGCTACAGGGTGGGGGCGCTGGCCGGCATGACCCCCCACCCCCACTTTTTCCACAGCGCGGAAGACGTGGTGGTCCGCGTGCCGGGCAGCCAGCTCACGCTGGGCTACATGGAGGAGCACGGCTTCGCTGAGCCCATTCTCGTCCCCAAGAAAGATGGGCTGGGCCTGGCGGTCCCGGCCCCCACCTTCTATGTCAGCGACGTCGAGAACTATGTGGGTGAGTGGCCTGCTCGCCGAAGGCTCGGCTGGTCTCCATACCACGTGCTCCCTTCAGGAATTAGACCCCCTGTCCCACTAAATGGCATGTGACCCTGGCCACCCCGCCTCAGTTATTCTGGCTGCAAAATGGGGGCTGTCTTGGGGACCCTTTCATTCTGCCGGCTGTGAGGGGCCCCTTCCTCTGAGGTTTGTGCTGTGTCCCCCTCGGCCCCTCCCGGGCCAGCCTGGGGCCCGGCCTCCCTTGTCTGCCCCGGGACCCTTCCTCTCTGGATCCCTCCAGTTCCAGCTGATGCTGTCCTGCCCAGCCTGCCTCGTGTCCACTGGCCACTTCCAGCACTGTGGACGCCCTTGTCGGGGCAGCTCCGGGTGGAGGGCAGTGCCTGTGTGTGCTTGGGCATCGCCTGTGAGGCCGTCTCCCCCCAGCAGTGATGGCCCCAGCTCTGGGGCCCTCATGATGGCTGGGGCTCGGGGCGTTCATGGGGATGGCTGGGTGGCCAGTGCAGGAGGAGGGAAGACCCTGAGAATGCCCGGGGCCCCCGTGGCAGGGAGAGCGAAGCGACCAGTGTCTGGGCCAGGCCGCACCCCTGGACTGACAGCTGGACTCTAGGGCCTGCCTGCCAGGCACTGCCCACCTGGGAGCCAGTGTCTTCCTGCCGATGGCTCTGACAGACGACGTGAGAACACCATCAAGGCCGAGCCTGTGCTTGGCAGCTGATTGTTCACACCAGAGCCCTGCCTCAGTTACCCCAGGGGCCCGGCACGTGCCTTCCGGGCGGGCCATGTGAATCACACACCGAATTTGGTGTTTAGGCCCGTCGGCCTCTCCTCTCTCCCGAGGTTGTTGGAGGACTGGGGTTGTTGGTCCTAGAACGTCCCACATGGGGTATGTGGCCCCCAGTGTGTCCCGTAACTTGCTCCTGTGTCCCCAGTGGTTCCCGCACCGCCTGGGCAGACGCTCAGATTTGCAGTCGGGTGGACAGCGGGACTCCTTCGGGGGTGCGGGTGGTGGCACTCCCATCTGAGGGCCCCGGAGCCTGGCCACCCGCCTCAGCGTCTCTGTGTCCACAGCTGGGGTCTGCACGGCCCCGGCGGACCGTCGGGAAGGACGAGGCCGTGAGTTCTGTGCGTCTTTCTCCCACTGCTACTTATGAGTCAGATGGGGCACGCTTGCCCTCGCCAGGTCCTTGGTTATCTGGAACCTCCTGTCACCAGCGATTCTTACCCTGATCTTTTCCTCATCAACTACAGAAAATGCAAGAAAAATGTTTTTCCTTTAACTTATCCATTTTCAGAATAAGCTGGTGCCTTAGAAATGTAGGAGTTTTTTGATTTTTAAAAATTTTAAAACATAAGCATGTCCCAAGCATCATTTGGGTTGTGCTTAGACTACCAACATATTTGTCGTTTGCTTGTCTGAAGTTCAAGGGTGCCTGCGTCCTGTGTTTTCATTCGCCTTCATGGCCACCCTAGCTGACGCCCTAGCATGTCAGCGGCCTCCCGTGCCCCAGGACCCTCGCCATGGCCGAGGGAGCGGGCACGCACGGTGGACGTCAGAGCCCGAGCCTCCAGGTCCAGCCCTGCTTGGCGGCCTCCCTGGCACCTCCTGCCCCACTCACTGCCCCCTGCCCTGCCCGTAGGCCCAGAGCGGAGCGTGGATGTGACAGACGTCGCCAAGCAGAAGGACTGCAAGATGAAGCTGAAGGAGTTTGTGGATTACTACTACAGTACCAACCGCAAGCGGGTTCTCAACCTCACCAGCCTTGAGTTCTCCGACACCAGGTGAGCGCCCGCCAGCCCCGGGGCCGCCACCCGCCAGCTGCCTGCGAGCCGCCCGCGGTGTTAGCTTGCGGGTTCTCTTCTTACGCATTGAGACAAATTCAAGCAGAAGATAAGCAGCAAAACGCCGACTCCCCCTCCAGCCGGCCCCCATCCCACTCCCCAGAAAGAGCTCACACCCACGCACGGTGCACACGCTCCCACACGTCCCTCTACACGCACACATCCATACCTGCTGGCCCACGTGCCTGCACACATCCCAGGCGCACTCTCGAATTCACACCTTTAGCACCACAGGGTCGTGCTGTGCGCCTGCTCTCCCCCCCGCCCTGCCCCTTCTCAGCCTGAGCTCCGTGTGCCAGGCCTGCCCAGCTTGCTGCTCTTCTCAGGGCGGAGGGGCCGGCAGATGCGCTGTGGATGATGCACCGTGGCTGTCTGGGGACCGCCTAAGTCCAGGCTTCTGTGTCGTCGGAGGCTGGCCCTGCCCCCAGCCCCTGTGCCCCTGCTCTCCCGGGACCACGGCCCCACCTTTCCTGCCCCTCTGTCAAATCCCTGCTGCTCTCCGGCTGGCCCCTCATGCACCGTAGGGCCTGAGTTGTTGACAATGGTCTAGTTTAAGCGTGGTTTCACTTTTGGAGGCTTTCCATCTTGCCTACTTCTGAAAAGCTCAGCACATAGCCAAATAGCTCGTGTGCAGAAGGGCGGGTAGGAAAAAGAGTTTCTGGAAGCCTCATGGAGACAGAGAGTACAGAGCTGTTCCAGGAGCCCCGACAGGATGTTGGACCTGGATGCTGGGTCCTGTGTGAGCTTCCTGACAGCAAAGACACAAAGGGAAATAGGATGGGTTACGGTATCGGGAGAAAGCCGCCTCCTGCGAGTTCACAAGAAGGACGTTCTCCCAGGCGGGTTGTGATGGCGTGTTGCTTTCGTACAGAGTGCACACTCGGGAATGTCGCCATCAGCTTGGTCTGCTGAGCAGCCTGGGGTCTTCACAGAGAGCCGCGGGGTGGCGGAGCTGGGGGGAGTGGGTGCTTTGGCTTGGGGTTTCCCCTTGGGCTTCTCGGGGCCCCCCCTTTGCTGGCAGAAAATGTGTGGTGCCTCTGGTGTCCTCAGGCCCGATCCGAGGAGCACGGGGGTCACGCACACTTCCCGCCAGGCCGTCGAGCAGCTGGGGCTCTGGTCTACACCGTCTGAGAGGCAGAGGGAGGCCTCCATGTAATCAGTGTGGTCTGTCCCCGGGGATGTTGGCTGGGGCTGCAAGGGCTGGGCCTGACCCCACAGGCCATCTGTGGGGGTCTCAGGGTGTGTGGCCTCGGGGATCCTGCAGTGACTCACACGTCCCCTGACCCCAGAGGCACCTGCTGTGACAGATGGAGAGTGATGTGCCTGCTGTCTGTTATGTGGACATACATGGTTACCTCTGCACATCACCCACGGTGGCCCCAGGTGTCTGGGGGCCTTGGGACACCACCCCTCCACCCTGGGAGAATGCAGGGAGCAGCTGGTCTTGGCGGTAGGAGAACGGGCTGGCTTTGCACCCGAGGAGCCATCAAGCAGGGAAAGAAGGGCATTTGTGGCCGTGTTGGGAAGCCCTGGTGTGTGGTTTGCAGAGGGCCCTGGGGCTGCAGGGCCGGGCCCCTCTCCTGTGGCCGTGGAGGGTCTGGGGCCACCAGGGGCCTGGGCTGGTCGAGAGGGCGCTGGGGAACAGGGAGGGACACCAGCTGGGGACATGCCGGAGAGTTGAAGGTCGCTGAGGTCGGAGTGGCAGGGCTGGGCGTGCGGGCCGTGACGGTCTCGTCCTGCGGGCACGGACTTTGGTGCAGAGCCGTGCGGCTCTGCCCCTCCTGCAGCAGCGAGGACGCCGGGTTGTCCCTGCGCGATGGTGATGCAGCCCCGTGCGTTTTAGTCAGGATGGTGACATTTCATCGGAAAGGCCACCTTTGCCTTTCCATGTCCACCTTGGAAAGGAGTCCACTGGCTTGACGGTGACCACCAGCCCCCGTGGTCCGCTCTGGAAAGCAGCTGCTTTTCTCCAAGCGATGCTTGGGAGCGCCTGGGCTGCGTGTGAGATGCGCCATTTGCCGCCTGCTGCACCGTGCCCGGCAGCACCCTCCTGGGCCAGCCCGGACAGTCCCTTCCAGCTCTGCAGGGAAGGGCTGTCCCCGGTTCCCCGTGAGAGACCGGTGTTCGATCCTGGCGTGGCGACGCCCAGCAGCTGGGCTCCTTCTGCCCCCGTGAACCTTAGTTTGCTTGTCTGTGGGATGGGGGTGGTGCCACATGGCCCCGGGGTGGACAGATAGGTGAGAGACGTGGCACGCGAGGAGGGACGCGATCTCAGAGCCCCTTCCCGGTCGGGTGGCCTGGCGGATGTCGGGCCACTGGTGCCCCTCCCCCTGCGTTTGCCCCAGGATGTCCAGTTTTGTGGAACCGCCTGACATCGTCAAGAAGCTGTCGTGGGTGGAGAACTGCTGGCCCGATGACGCACTGCTGGCCAAGCCCAAGGTGACCAAGTACTGCCTTATCTGTGTGAAGGACAGCTACACCGACTTCCACATCGACTCGGGCGGCGCCTCTGCCTGGTATCACGTGCTCAAGGTAGGTACAGCTGCCTCCGTGCGTGAGCCCCGTGGGGCCGGTGCCCGGCTTCTCCAGGAGGGACGTGGTGTCCGGCCCTCGGGAGGCAGAGGGGTGGGGTGCATGTCACATGTTCCTGAGGAGGGGGAGGCTCATGAAGCAGTTGGACGTGGCCCACTGGAGTGGAGCCCAGGGCTCAGCAGTGTGCATGCCCAGAGAGAGGAGTGTGGTGCTGGGAGGACTTCCTGGAAGAGGGCCATGCACAGGAGCAGGGGCAGGGCTGAGGGCTTCTGCCAGGGGGCAGGGAGGGGAGCCGGGGGAGAAGGGAGATGTGAAGACAGACAAACAAGGGGATCGTAAGGAGACTACCAGGGTCTCCCCACACCTGCCCGAGCCCAACATGGGGTGGGCAGCTCGGCTCATGATCCCCGCCCTGGAACCTACAGGGCAGGGCGGCCCAGGCCCAGGGCTCTCAGGAGCAGAGCTTTCCTGACAGCGGGTCCCAGCTTTGCTGCCCATAGCACACTTGTCCTGGTTCACAGACTACGAATCGCAAAGCCACATGGCCCCATCTTTCAGGGAAAGGACAGTGTTCACGCCAGGACTTCCAGTGTCCGTGGGGTGTGGCGGGCTCTGCCCCCCCACCCAGCGTGCCGGGTCGTGGCGGGCTCTGCCCCCCCCACAGCATGCCGGGTCGTGGCGGGCTCTGCCCCCCAGCGTGCCGGGTCGTGGCAGACTCTGCCGACCAGCGTGCCGGGTCATGGAGGACTCTGCCCCCCCCACAGCGTGCCGGGTCGTGGCAGACTCTGCCGACCAGCGTGCCGGGTCATGGCGGACTCTGCCGACCAGCGTGCCGGGTCATGGAGGACTCTGCCGACCAGCGTGCCGGGTCATGGAGGACTCTGCCCACCAGCATGCCGGGTCGTGGCGGCCTCTGCCCTCCCCACAGCGTGCCGGGTCGTGGCGGACTCTGCCGACCAGCGTGCCGGGTCGTGGCGGACTCTGCCCCCCAGTTTGCTGGGTCGTGGCGGACTCTGCCCCACAGTGTGCCGGGTCATGGTGGACTCTGCCAACCCAGCATGCCGGGTCGTGGCGGGCTCTGCCCACCAGCGTGCTGGGTCGTGGCGGGCTCTGCCCGCCCCCCCCAGCGTGCCGGGTCCTGGCGGGCTCTGCCCACCCCCAGCGTGCCGGGTCGTGGTGGGCTCTGCCCCCCCCACAGCATGCTGGGTCGTGGCGGGCTCTGCCACCCAGCGTGCCGGGTCGTGGCGGGCTCTGCCCCCCAGTGTGCCGGGTCGTGGCACTCTCTGCCTGCCCCCCAGCGTGCCGGGTTGTGGCAGTCTCTGCCCCTCAGTGTGCCGGGTTGTGGCGAGCTCTGCCCCCCAGCGTGCCGGGTCATGACGGGCTCTGCCCCCTTGCGTGCCGGGTCGTGGTGGACTTTGCCCCCCTTCAGCGTGCTGGGTCGTGGCGGGCTCTGCCCCTCAGTGTGCCGGGTCGTGGCGGGCTCTGCCCCCCACCCCCAGCGTGCCGGGTCATGGTTGGCACTTCCCCCCCAGCGTGCCGGGTCGTGGCAGGCTCTGCCCTCCAGCGTGACGGGTCATGGCAGACTCTGTTCCCCAGCGTGCAGGTCGTGGCGGATCTGTCCCCCCAGCGTGCCGGGTCATGGCGGGCTTTGCGCCCCAGTGTGCCGGGTCGTGGCGGGCTCTGCCCCCCCAAAAGCATGCAGGGTCGTGGCGGGCTCTGCACCCCCCCAGAGTGCCAGGTCGTGGTGGACTCTGCCCCCCAGCGTGACGGGTCGTGGCGGGCTCTGCACCTCCCAGTGTGCCACTTCGTGGTGGACTCTGCCCCCCAGAGTGCCGGGTCGTGGCGGACTCTTCCCCCCAACAGTGTGCCTGGTCGTGGCAGGCTCTGCCCCCCAGGGTGCTGGGTCATGGTGGGCTTTGCCCCCCCTCAGCGTGCTGGGTCGTGGCAGGCTCTGCCCACCAGTGTGCCGGGTCGTGGCGGGCTCTGCCCGCAGCGTGCCGGGTCGTGGCATGCTCTGCCCACCCCCAGCGTGCCGGGTCGTGACGGATTCTGCCCCCCAGCGTGCCGGGCCATGGCGGACTCTGCGCTCCAGCGTGCCGGGTCGTGGTGGGGTCTGCGCCCCAGCGTGCCGGGTCGTGGTGGGCTCTGCCCCCCAGCGTGCCGGGTCGTGGCGGGCTCTGCCCTCCAGCGTGACGGGTCGTGGCAGACTCTGTTCCCCAGCGTGCAGGTCGTGGCGGGTCTGTCCCCCCAGCGTGCCGGGTTGTGGCGGGCTCTGCCCCCCCCAGCGTGCTGGTTCGTGGCGGGCTCTGCCCCCCAGCGTGCCGGTCGTGGCAGGCTCTGCCCCCCAGCATGCTGGGTCATGTTGGGCTCTGCCCACCCCCAGCGTGCCGGGTCATGGCGGATTCTGCCCCCCAGTGTGCCGGGTCGTGGCGGGCTCTGCCCCCTCAGTGTGCCGGGTCGTGGTGGGCTGTGCCCCCCAGCATGCCGGGTCGTGGTGGACTCTGCCCCCCAGCGTGCCGGGTCGTGGCAGGCTTTGCCCCCACCCAGCGTGCTGGGTCGTGGCGGGCTCTGCCCCCCAGCGTGCTGGGTCATGGTTGGCTCTACCCCCCCAGCGTGCCGGGTCGTGGCGGGCTCTGCGCACCAGTGTGCCGGGTCGTGGTGGACTCTGCCCCCCAGTGTGCCGGGTCATGGTGGGCTCTGCCCCCCAGCGTGCCAGGTCGTGGTGGACTCTGCCCCCCCAGCATGCCAGGTCGTGGCGGGCTCTGCTGCCCCCCAGCGTGCCGGGTCGTGGCGGGCTCTGCCCCCACCCCCCAGCGTGCCGGGTCGTGGCGGGCTTTGCCCCCCCCCAGCGTGTTGGGTCGTGGCAGGCTCTGCCCCCCAGCGTGCCGGGTCGTGGTGGACTCTGCATCCCCAGCGTGCCGGGTCGTGGAGGGCTCTGCCCCCCAGCGTGCCGGGTCGTGGCGGGCTTTGCCCCCCCTCAGCATGTTGGGTCGTGGCGGGCTCTGCCCCCCAGCGTGCCAGGTCGTGGTGGACTCTGCCTCCCCAGTGTGCCGGGTCGTGGAGGGCTCTGCCCCCCAGCATGCCGGGTCGTGGCGGACTCTGCCCCCCCAGTGTGCCGGGTCGTGGCAGGCTCTGCCCCCCAGCGTGCCGGGTCATGGCGGGCTCTGCCCCCCCAGTGTGCCGGGTCGTGGCGGGCTCTGCCCCCCCACAGCGTGCCGTTTCGTGGTGGGCCCTGCCCCCGCAGCGTGCCAGGTCGTGGTGGACTCTGCCCCCCAGTGTACAGGGTCGTGGTGGGCTCTGCCCCCCAGCGTGCCGGGTCATGGCGGGCTCTGCCCCCACCCAGCGTGCCAGGTCGTGGCGGGCTCTGCCCTCCAGCGTGACGGGTCGTGGCAGACTCTGTCCCCCAGCGTGCAGGTCGTGGCGGGTCTGTCCCCCCAGCGTGCCGGGTCGTGGTGGGCTTTGTGCCCCAGTGTGCTGGGTCGTGGCGGGCTCTGCCCCCCTAAAAGCATGCAGGGTCGTGGTGGGCTCTGCACCCCCCCAGCGTGCCGGGTCGTGGCGGGCTCTGCCCCCGCCCCAGCGTGCCGGGTCGTGGCCTCTCATTGGCAGGGGGAGAAGATCTTCTATCTCATCAAGCCAGCTTCAGCCAACATTTCCCTCTATGAGCGCTGGCAGTCGGCCGCGAACCACAGCGAGATGTTCTTTGCCGACCAGGTGGACAGATGTTACAAGTGCACCCTCAAGCAGGGCCAGACGCTCTTCATCCCCTCGGGTGAGCGCCCTGTCCCGCACCCCATTGTAACTGCCAGGCTCCCCGCCTTTGCCCTTGCCCTGGGGCCTCCTGCTCCGCCGTGACTATGGCATCCAGGGAGTGGGCTCCTGTCCGAGGCTCGTGTCCAAGGATGATCTAGGGGTGCGCCCACTCTCCTGGGCTTTGGCAGTTCGACCTCGGCCCCTCACCCTGTGTGTGGGGGTTGGGGGTGCTGGGCAGGCGGGGCCGGTTTCTTCAGTTCCTGGGTTGGTGCCAGGCAAGAATGCCAGCGTGGACACAGGCTCTCCTACCGGGAGGGCCCAGCCACCCATCACACGGCGGGAAGGGTGTGTGTGGGCAGCCAGCCAGGGTGGACGGGGGCACCAGGGCAGGCTGGACGATGCCAAGCTCATGCCGGCCGGGGTCAGGCCAGGCGGCGGCTGCGAGCCCGGCCTGAGAGCACGCTGAAGGGCTAGCCACGTCCCTGCCTCGCCAGGCTGGATTTACGCCACGCTCACACCTGTGGACTGCCTGGCCTTCGCGGGACATTTCCTCCACAGCCTGAGCGTGGAGATGCAGATGAGGTAGGGCCACACCTGCCCCAGTCGCACCCAGCCAGGGTCCCTGCTGCCAGGCCGGTGTGGTGGCACCCCCCTGAGTTCTGGGCATGCCATTAGCCTCTTCTGTGGTCCTGCCAGGGCCCCTGGGTGACCTGGTTCCTGGACAGCCTCTGTGGCCCTTGGAGGGTGTGGGGTGAGTTGAAAGGCCTCTTCCCGGGCACTGGCCACAGGGCAGTCATTCCGATGTGGTCCCCTGTTCCACCCAGCCATGCAGGGTGGGGGGCAGAGTGGCACAGCCTTGGTGTGGCCTTCTCCTGGCTCATCCTTAGTGTCACTTGCTCAGTGCTGAGTGCCCTGGACAATTGTTTGCTGTGGTTTCCAGAGCATACGAAGTGGAAAGGAGGTTGAAACTGGGCAGCCTGACTCAGTTTCCCAACTTTGAAACAGCCTGCTGGTACATGGGGAAGCACCTGCTGGAGGCGTTCAAAGGTATGGCTATGCAGGTTGGCGTCTCTGATGGCGTCCAGGTGGCTGGTTTGCATATGGGGCTGGGGGATGTGGGGGTGGGTAATGGCTATGGCTTCGTGCAGCCGGGCGGCCAGACCCTGGGGTGGGCTGAGCCCCGCGGGGCAGCGTGAGGCCGGATGGCATCCCGCAGGGCTGTTGATGTTTTGGACAGAACGCTGGGATGTGTGTTCCTGGGCCTGGCATGCATAGCCTCACGTGACTGCTGATGGGGCTCATTCCGGTTGTCGAGAGGCCTGGGGGTCTGCCTGGCCCTGGGCGTGCAGCTGAGGGACCCCTGTGGCATCCCTGCCCTCCACCCCTGGCCTTCAGGGTCAGTGCTCGGCCCCCAGCAGCCGGGCTGCTTTCCCCCCGCAGGCTCAAGCCACCTCATCTGGAGCCCTTTGTACTCGGGCTCCTGTTTGAGATGGGAAGGCTAAAGAGATGGATCTTGATCTTGCCTGGTCAGGTTTCAGTGAAATTTGTCCATCCCCAAATTCAGATCCCTGAGTTTCACCCTGGCAGAGGGCGTGCCTAGGAGCGAGCCCATGGGGGCTGCCCTGGGGGCCCATGGCAGGGAGATGGGCTGGGGCAGTGTGGACAGAGCCAGACCCTGGGGATGGCCTGATGGATGACCGCTGACCAGCTGGGTCTGCCCCTCCGTCAGGGGCCCAGAGTAGCAGCCAGTCCCCTGGTGGCTCAGAGGTCCGGCGGCTCTGCCTCTGCAGTGAGCGTCCCGGCCAGAAGGGGGGCACTTGGCACCTTCTCTGCGGGGCTCACCCAGCCCCCAGGGGCGTCTCAAGAGGCGGTGCTTGTCCCCGTGGCCACAGTGGGAGTCCCAACTACCACCACTGTGCAGAGGCCACGTGAGGTGTGGGTACATCTGTGGCCCCTCACTAAGGTGGGCCGGGGGACAGGCGGAGGGGACAGTCCCTGTGGGTGGACGGTGGGAGGGCCGGTCCTGCCCCTCACAGGGCATCTCGGATAGGTCCCCGAGGTTCCAAGACGGACCGTTGGCAGTTGGGCAGGTGGCAGTGGGTGGAGGTCCAGCCCTGACCCCACCCATACCCACCGTGTGAGGTCACCTGCAGGCGGCACACACTCTCCTGACCCAATCCCTCTACCTCCCGCCAGGTTCTCACAAGTCTGGGAAGCAGCTGCCCCCCCATTTAGTCCAAGGAGCTAAAATTCTCAATGGTGCTTTTAGATCATGGACGAAGAAGCAGGTAGGGAGGTGGGCCAGGTTGTCCCCGAGCAGAGGGGAGCGTGGCTGGTGGGGAGCCCTCCCCAGTGCTGGTCCTTCCTTTGCTGGGTGCCCTTTGCCCACCTGTAGCGGGGTGGGGGTGCTGGAAGCAGTTCCTGGCCTGAGGGCTGGGGGCCGGGGGGCCTGGAGAGTCCGTAGGAGGAGGGTGGGTGGCGCTGAGTGCACCTGAGGGGCGGGGGCAGGGTTGGACTCCGGGCGGGAGATGGGAAGAGCCTCTTGGCCTCCCTGGCCAGCCTAGGCATCAGCTCAGAAGTGGGCTTCACTCTCTGATGTGGGCCTCCCTTTCCACTGTGTCCCCACATTGTGCCCCTTGTAGCAGCATGGCATTTTACCCCCCAAGGTACCCCTGACAGTATGCCCAGTGCCCTCCATGGCCCCCCAGCAGCACTGTCCTGTCCCCCCCCGGGCCCCCCCAGCAGCACTGTCCTGTCCCCCCCCAGGGTCCCCCCCAGCAGCACTGTCCTGTCCCCCCCCAGGGTCCCCCCAGCAGCACTGTCCTGTCCCCCCCCGGGCCCCCCAAGCAGCACTGTCCTGTCCCCCCCCAGGGCCCCCCACAGCAGCACTGTCCTGTCCCCCCCCAGGCCCCCCCCAGCAGCACTGTCCTGTCCCCCCCCCAGGGCCCCCCCCAGCAGCACTGTCCTGTCCCCCCCCCAGGGCCCCCCCCAGCAGCACTGTCCTGTCCCCCCCCCCAGGGCCCCCCCCAGCAGCACTGTCCTGTCCCCCCCCCAGGGCCCCCCCCAGCAGCACTGTCCTGTCCCCCCCCGGGCCCCCCAAGCAGCACTGTCCTGTCCCCCCCCAGGGCCCCCCCCAGCAGCACTGTCCTGTCCCCCCTTCACCCAGGAACCCCCAGCAGCTCTGTCTGGTAACCTCCCAGGGTTGTCCTACAGCCACATCTCTGGCCTCAAGGCCTGGAACCGTGTCTGGTATCCCTCCCACCTCACCTCAGCCACAAGTCCAGAGATAGCAGCCTTATGCCCAGGAAGACGGGATGGCCCGCATCCACTGCCCAGCTGGTGGTGGCCTTGGACACCTCGTCCTCTCTGGGACCCTGTTCCTCCCCCTGTGGAGAGGGGTGGTGGCAGAGCCCTCTTATGAGTCTGGCTGGGGGCTGACTCGTTCGGGGAGCCAGTCCTTGCCTGCGTCAGCCCTTCCCCAGTGCTTGTCTGGGCTGCCGGGGTCCTGGGTTGGTAGGCAGGAGATGACTTGGAGGGACAGTGTGGGTGAAGCAGGATCCTCGGCGGTCAAGCCTGCTCGGGGACTCTCTGGGTGGGAAGTGGGTGGGGCAGCGTGGCCTGGACAGGTGGCCGTCGGCACCCGGACCGGGCAGCTGACCGCCGGCCCTGCGTGTGCTGCCCTTCAGGCTTTGGCGGAGCATGAGGACGAGCTCCCAGAGCACTTCAAACCTTCCCAGCTCATCAAAGACCTCGCCAAAGAGATCCGCCTCAGCGAGGTAGGACTGAGCCGGGGGGCCGCCAGCCCTGGCTGGGGAGCCCTCTGCCTGCCTGGCCTGGCCCTCCCCACAGATGTCTGCCAGGGTCAGCCGTGTCTGAGACGGCTCCTCCCCCGGCCCTCTGAGGCAGGGTCACCGGCATGAGGGGGACTCCACGGCACCTGTGGCTGCCCGTGGCCTCCTGGCCGGAGCTCCCCACGTGGGTGGGGAGGGGTCTGGAGGGAGGACAATTCCAGCCGCTGGAGACCCTGCTTGTGTGAACTTGGACTGCCCCCAGCCTCTCCGTGCCGCAGGATAGGATGGCAGTCCCCACCAAGGAGATAGAGGGGTCAGATGGCTGATGGTGTAGACGAATGGCACCTTGTCACTCGGGTACTGCAGATGAATGTGTCACACGGTGGTGTAGATGGATGTGAGCATGTTGCATGGATGCTCTAGGACAAATGTGTGTCACAGAATGGTGTAGACAGATGTGAGCGTGTCACACGATGCTGTAGGATAGATGTCAGCATGTCCCAGTGGTGTAGACGGATGTGTTGTATGATGGTGGAGGCAGAGGTCCTTTCTGCTGGAGTGTCTCCCACAGCCTGGGCTGAGGCCCTCCTGGCAGGAGGCCGTTGGCCACCTCTCCTTCTCCTTTCCCTAGAATGCCTCCAAGGCCGCCCGACCCGAAGTGACCCCGGCCATCTCCTCAGATGAAGTCTGTTTTGGGGACCGGGAGAAAGAGGAGCCCCCATCTCCTATTGAGGCCAGTCCTCCTCGGTCCTTCCTGGAGAAAGTATCCAAAAAAAAGACTCCCAAAACCGTGAAGATGCCCAAGCCATCCAAAGTTCCCAAACCCCCCAAGCCCCCCAAGCCCCCGAAGCCCCCCAAATCACTGAAGCTCAAGGATGGGGGCAAGAAGAAAGGGAAAAAGTGCAGGGGGGCAGCCTCACCCACCATCCCCAACCTGGACCTGCTGGAGGCCCACACCAAGGAGGCGCTGACCAAGATCGAGCCTCCCAAGAAAGGCAAGGTGGGTAATCTCACCCTCCTGTCTGTGGGCAGAGGGTCTGCAGACACCTCGGGGGCTGGCCTGTGGGGCGAAGCTGGGGCTGCTGTGTCCTTGTGAGGCTCGGGGTAGGTGGGTTGTGCTCCAGTGAGCTTGGTGCAGTGGGGAGGAAGCCTCACAGGAAAGGCAGTGGTGTCTGTTCTGGGACGGGGGGCACCACACAGGGTCACTTGCGGGGTTGAGGTGGCTGGGTCCTCCTGGGGCCCAGGCATTGGCTGAGATCTGAAGGTGGATCAGGTGCCCAGTGGAGGGCAGTATGGAGGCAGAAGGGAGACTTACGATGTGGGCAGTTACTTGAGGGGCCTGAGCCCCTGTAGACAGTGAGAGAGGCAGACCTGGCCCTGGGGACCTACTGGTGTGACCAGAGGCCCTTAGGTGTGGGTTTCAGGGACCATGAGCCCAAGACCAAGCCCCATTGAGTGGGAGGTTGTTACCCACTTCTCGGGGTGGGGGGTGGTCAGTGACAGCATTATAGGGCTGCAGTGGGACACCTCGGTTTTCTCTTCCTCAAGACAAAGAGGGTGGATGAAAGAACAGATGAACAGATGGATGGATGGCAGGAAGAGGGGAGAGAGGGAGGAAGCGGGGAGGGTGCATGAATGGGTGGATGGATGGATGGATGGATGGGCATATGGGTGGATGGGTGGGTGGGTGGATGGATGGATGGATGGATGGGTGGATGGATGGATGGGTGGGTGGGTGGTGGGTGCATGAATGGGTGGTTGGTGGGTGGATGGATGGGTGGATGAATGGATGGATGGGTGGGTGGTGGGTGCATGAATGGGTGGATGGTGGGTGGATGGATAGGTGGGTGGATGGGTGGATGGATGGATGGATGGGTAGGTGGATGGTGGGTGGATGGATGGGTGGATGGTGGGTGGATGGATGGGTGGATGGATGGATGGGTGGATGGATGGATGGGTGGGTGGGTGGTGGGTGCATGAATGGGTGGATGGTGGGTGGGTGGATGGATGGATGGATAGGTGGATGGATGGATGGATGGGTGGATGGTTGGATGGGTGGGTGCGTGGGTGGGCGGTGGGTGCATGAATGGGTGGATGGTGGGTGGATGGGTGGATGGATGGATGGATGGGTGGGTGGTGGGTGAATGAATGGGTGGATGGTGGGTGGATGGATGGATGGATGGGTGGGTGGGTGGTGGTGGGTGCATGAATGGGTGGATGGTGGGTCGATAGATGGGTGGATGGATGGGTGGATGGATGGATGGATGGGTGGGTGGGTGGTGGGTGCATGAATGGGTGGGCGGTGGGTGCATGAATGGGTGGATGGTGGATGGATGGATGGATGGGTGGGTGGGTGGTGGGTGAATGAATGGGTGGATGGTGGGTGGATGGATGGATGGATGGATGGGTGGGTGGGTGGTGGTGGGTGGGTGCATGAATGGGTGGATGGTGGGTGGGTGGGATGATAGGTGGTGAGTGGATGGGCTGCTGCATGTGAGCCAGCGGGGAGGCAGGGGCTCTGTGCTGTGTGGCTCTTGGTTTGCCTGTAGCCTCACGGATCCTCGACACCCTCCCACGTCCACTGCTGGGTCATGACTGCTGTTTCTTAGGCCACAAAGGGTGTCCTGAGTGTGCCCAACAAGGAGGCGATCAGCTCGCAGAATGACGTGGAGAGGCTAGAAATCCGAGAGCAAACTAAGAGCAAGTCAGAAGCCAAGTGGAAGTACAAGGTGAGGTGTACGGGAATGTGTGTGGGCCTGGTGGTGTGGGAGGAGGTGTGTGTCCACCTGTCCCCAGGGCGGGTAGTGAAGGTGTAGGTGTGAGTGTGGCCTCCGTGGGGCTGCCTTCCATAGGCACGGGCTGAAGGGGCCGGGTGTGCCACTGTCCGAGTCGGCGGACGGCCCTGCTTGAACTCGCACTCCCTGGAGCTGGACAGTGTCTTGCAGGCCCCGGGCTACAGAGAAAGGGGGTTCCTGGATGATGTGGTCAGAGGGAGGAGGCTGGCCTGTCGCAAAGGCTCAGCCCACTGGTTGCCTGCGTGGGGCTCAAGGATGGTCCTGGGTTTGCTTTTCAGAACAGCAAACCTGACTCCCTGCTGAAGATGGAGGAAGAGCAGAAGTTGGAGAAGTGTCCTCTGTCAGGGAGCAAGGACCCCAAGTTCTCGTTTTCCTTCAACAAGAGACTGCTGGGGTACGTGCAGGCTCATGCACACGCACCCTCCCCCATCACACATGCTCACACACAGCACGCACACAGCACACACACGCCCTCGTGGAGGGCTCCCCAGGTGAGGCCCCCTTCCTGGGCTGGTAGAGCCCTTCCCTGCCTCCCAGGCTGGTGGCTCTGATGGCTGGAGAGGGGGCAGAGGGCAAGAGCGTGACTCGGTGGCTGTTAGCCCAGTTGCTGTTCTGGGCTGGGAGAAAAGAGGTAGGGTGGGTCAGGGCCCTGGCCTTGGGGCCCAGAGGCCAGTGTGAACCTGGTATTCTCAAATGTACCTAAAATTATGGCTGAGATGGGGGCTCTGGAGGAAAGATTTGTGGGGCCTCTGGGGCCTGAAAAATCAGGAGGGCTTCCTGGAGGAGGTGACATTGTGCTGAGAAGTGGAGCACCCAGCCTGGGAGGGTGTGTGTGGGGGGGTGGGCACGTCTGGGTTCCAGACTGTGGGACAGGTGTGTATCTGCCGACCCAACTTGGCAGGCCAGCCACACCTCACCCGCTGACATGCCCCGACCAGCGTGGTCCCTCATGCAGTTGCTTGCTCAATCTGAAGTCAGGGTGGGCGCCCCTCGGTAGGAAGCAGCGCATCCCAGTGGGAAGGGGGCCAGCGTCCTGCCGTGGGCTTCAGTTTCCTCCTTGTAGGTGGTGGGGAAATGGGGCCAGGCAACGTCTGGGGCCCTGCAGAGCCTGGGACGATGGGGCCTTATTCTTGAGACCTCTTGGCATTGTGTCGAGGCTGCTCGGCGAGCAGGTGGGGCAGGTCTGGTCCGAGGGTCCGCTGCCTGACCTCATGGCCCTGAGCATGTTGGTGCTGGTCCGAAGCTCAGGTGCTGGGCTCCGGGGGCTTTGGAGACGGAGGAGGTGGCTGCGGACAGGACTCCAACCGTGTCCCAGATGTGTGTGCTTGCTGCTTCGCCCACATCCCACAGGGCTGCCCGCCCCTGGGACTGGGAGCCGTCCCATCGCAGCTGACGACGGCCCTGCCCCGGCCTGCTGTCCCCATGGCTGGGCACGGCCGGAGCCCTGCCTCGCCCTGAGGGGAGGCCCAGCTGAAGGACAGCGGAATTCATTTTTCCGAAATAGCTCCGCAGGGAACCAGGGCCACTGGCTCCGTCTGAAACCGAGCTGGTGCTGGACCCCAGGGTGGGGGGTGGTGAGGGGCACACCCTCCAACAGCCCGAGGAAGGGCCGGCACCCACCCCGTGGGCCATGCGCCGTCCTCGCTGGGGCCACAGCGTCCGGGAAGAGCCCGGGGGACGGGACAGGGATGGGACGGGGATGCGTGTGGCCAGCTGCTGGTCCTCTGAAGCCCAGGATGGGGTGCAGGGGGTGCTGAATGACCCGCTCCTGCCGCCCCAGCTCCAAGGCCCTCAAGCCACAGCCCAGCCCAGGCGTGTTTGGGGCCGTGCAGAGCTTCAAGGAGGACAAGCCCCAGCCAGTGCGGGACGAGTACGAGTACGTGTCGGATGACGGGGAGCTCAAGATCGATGAGTTTCCCATCAGGAGGAAGAGGAGCACCCCCAAGAGAGATTTGTCTTGTGAGTGAGGGCGTGAGGGTGGGGAGCGGGCCGTCTTCCCGAGGCCTCTGCCAGACGCACGTCTGCTGTGCTTTCAGTCTTGCTGGACGGGAAGGAGCCTCTGGCCACGCCCGCTACGAAGCCAAAGCTGGACTCGGCGCTCTACAAGGTGAGCGCACCTGTGCTGGGCCCAGGAGGCCGAGCCAGCTGTCCGTCCCTGTCTCGGGCGGTCCTGCCACGCAGCGGGACCTGGCTGACGGCGGTGTGTGGGCTGCAAAAGGGGTCTTCTTCTGCCTTGTCTCGGGTGTTTTCATGGGGAGGGTGGCCTGGGTCCTGGCCGCGGGCCCCGCGGAGGAGGGATGAAGACAGGGCACGCGGAGGGGTGCGGGTCTCTGTGAGTGGCCGCCCGCCATGAAGGTAACGAATGAGGGGACGTGGGGCCAGGCCTGGCCCTGTGCTGTGGGGACTGAAGTTGGGCCACCTCCCACCGAGGAGCCACCAGCCAGGGGCTGACGGGGCTCCCCGAGCGTGGGCATGAGCCCCCACCGGCTCCCTGCCCAGCCACACGGCTCCTTGCGTGTCTGTGGTCAGGACTGGGGCTCACGGGCAAACGGCAGGGCGTGGCGACGGCTCCGTCCTCTGGGGCAGGCCTGCGGTCCTGACGGAAAGCCCCGGCGCCCGGCCCCGCCTGCAGTGCTCATTACAAAGGCTGGCTCTTCATAAACTGTGGGAAACGGCTTTTTCTGGCCAGAGGGAAACAGTAGCTCTCCCCCAAGCCCCCCTGACCCGTGGCTCTGTCCCCGCAGCAGAGTGACGGCTCCTCTGACGAGGGCTCGCTGCACATCGATACAGACTCCAAGCCCGCCCGCAGTGCCAAAGGGAAGAAGGAGGGCGTGGGCTCGGCCGCGGGCATCCTGGACCTGCTGCAGGCCAGCGAGGAGGTCGGTGCGCTTGAGTACAACCCCAGCAGGTATGTGGGGGCCCGGCCTGTCCCGAGTTAGGCGCCCAGAGCGGGACCCGCTCAGCAGAGGGTGCCGGCTGGCCAGGGAGCCGAGTGGGGGCTAGTCCCACCGGCCCCCAGGGTGGGCAGAGCTCCTGGACGCCCAGATGGCAGGCATGGGGGAGGCTGGGGGGCCGTGGGCGTGGGGCCGTGTGAGAGCGTCTGAGGGGCTGCCCCACCTGGCGGCCTGCGGAGCAGCAGGGCTGGGCTTCGGGCTGTGTCATCCAGCTGTGTCTCTAGACACACCCCAAATGCTGTGAAGGTGATGCAGGAAACTTTCCATGGCACATGCCCAGCCTCCTGGTCCAGGGCACTTGGTGTCTTTGGGACCCAAGGCTGCAGAGACCTCACCCCGAGGGAGGGAGACGGTTGCTTCAGAGCTTGGGGACAGAAGAGCCTGGAGGAAGGGCTGGATCTGCCAGGTTCCCAGGTGACCACACCCAACTGGGGGCGAATGGGGACCAAGCCAGACTGTCCCTGAGTCCCCGTGTGCGTCCAGGGAGCCCACTCACTGCAGCCATGGAGGCCCGGGTGGCAAGATCGCTCTTGCCCAGGCCTGCCCGGCCCAGGCCTCTGATGTGAGAGAAATGGATTGACCCCTCTGCGCTTTATTGGGTAAAGGGCCTCAGCTCGTTTCTCTGGTGATGGTCCCATTTGAAGTCTTTCTCCGTTCAGTTAAACGTTGTTTTTAAGCATTGTGGTCATTTTTTTTTTAAGTGGGATTTTCATAAGTATCACAGACAGGTAACCGAGAGGTCAGGGCCTCCCCAGAGGGGGGACCTCCACTGCCCTGGGGGCTGGTGCCCTGCTAGTCCTCAGGATGCAGCAGACTCCCGCGACAGGGCAGCTTGCTCAAGGCCGCGCTGCTGGGAGGCGGCCCAGGCAGGGGTGACCTGCCCGAGGGAGGCAGGGCTCCCGCGGCCTGCGCGGTGCTCGGTCCCCTCCATCTGCCTCCGAGACCGTGTTTGCGGAATCGAGGTCCCAGGGCTGTGCGAACCCGCTAGGAGGCCGCCCAGCCAGCCGGTGTCAGACACACAGGGGCCGAGGAGGTGGATTTGGCCGTGCTTGGGAAGGGCTCCTGCTGACCATGGCTGTACCTTCTCTCGGGAACGTCTGTTCTGTGCGCCGTGTTGTGTTCACAGACAGCCGGAGGCGCATTCTCCCGGGGGCGTGGTGCATGGCTGGCCGCGTGGGCAGCCGTCCGGGTGTGGGCTCCTGCTCGGCACGCGGTGGTTTCTGTCGATGTGCAGAGTGGGGCCCTCGCTGCACGGAGGCGCTGGGCGGGACCTGGCCTGAGGCCCCTTGGCTGGGAGCAGTCTGACTGTGACCCCCTTTGAGGAGGGCGCTGCTGTGAGCCTGGCCCCGCACCGCCTTGGGGGTGCCTTTCTTCTGGAGGAACTTTGGCCAGCCCACACCTCAGCTAGCCGTTCGTGTTCAGACCCCGGAGAGGTGCGGGGACACGGACACTGCGGCCTGGGCTCAGCCCCGGGGAGGAGGGGGCCTGTGAGTGGGTGGGCTGCTCACGGCTCTGCAGACACGCACGTGTGCCCCATGCACGTGAGCACTCAGGCCCGCCCACACGTGTGCACACGTGCCTGCCAGGCCCACCCCCCTCTATCCGCCGCAGGCACTTCCTCTCCCCAGTCTCCCATTTGGAGAGCAGGTCAGTTTTTGATGGTCCATTTGCTCTGTTTTAAGTTTTTGCTGTTGGGAAAAAACAGCTGAAAAAAATGGAGGGAAATACGTTAATTTCTTGTGGATGATTTGCTGAGTGTTTACCGCTGGGGGTGGGGGGAGAGGATTTTGGTATGATAATTGGAGGATTAAGAGATTATTTTCCATGTGCTCTGGTTAGACTTTGCTTCTTGATTCGCCGGCCCCGTGTGGACAGACCGGCGGCCCTTGCCGCATGCGGCCCTGGGCTCTGCGGGCCTCCCTGTCGGCTGCAGCCAAGCGGGGCTGGGACCACGCCGGCTCCGGGGCGGGGGACGCGCGCAGCGGGTGTCCTGGCCCCCTGCCCTCCTGTCCCTGTGGGAAGCCTGGTGTCTGCCCAGCCTCGAGGAGGCCCAGACCTTCAGGGCGGGGCTGGTGGGACCACATCCGCACCCGAGAGCCGGGTGTAGCGGGTGCTGGGCTGGCCGTGGGCTCCTGCTGTCTCCTGTGCAGGTCGGTGGTCTGGTGCAGCAGGGATATGCTGTGTGCTCCTGGTCAGATCTGGACGGCCCTGTGCCCGCGCAGCGTGGATGGGGCAGGCTGCATCACAGGAGTGGGACAGAGGGGCCAGGAGCTCCCACCTCTGCGGGGGGTCTGACCGGACTGATTTTCCCACTGTTTTGGCTTTGAAACTGCAGTGCAGTCTGGTTCCAGCAGAAACCAGAACACTGAGGTCCGGTGTGTCTGGGACAGGGCCCAGGGAGGTGGTATTTGTGGAGGGCTGCCTGTGGGGGGCCCAGCAGGGACCTGGCAGGACAGCTTCTGACCAGGCTTGCTCCACTGGGCCCCCAGGACCTGCAGGGGTGCTCTGTATCTGCTCCCTGGGGCCAACTCAGTCTCCCCCAGCCCTCCAGCCCCAGGTTTGGGAAGCTTCCATCTGAGTGGGGACGCATGGCCCCTCTTCATTTGAACGGTCTTACTAAATGTGCTTCAGACACTTGGAGGTGGGGATGGGGCTGGGGAGGGAGTGGCGTGAGACGCAGATGACGCAGAACCCCCAGGAGGGCTGTGTGGACTGACACTTCGGGTGCTGCTTTGGGGTCACAGTAGTCCTGCGGGTGGGTCCATCCTCTGGGGGCACATGGGGCAGGCAGGAGGGGGCCTGGAGGTCAGACATCAGGGTGAGACCCTGCCGCCGCTCCCTGGGCGTTCTCGGTCTGTGATGGGGAGGAGGGCTAAGCCGGCCTGTGGGTCCCCCACCCCAGGCCTGGCTCCTGGTCCTGTCTCCTGGGGGTCCAGGGAGTGGAGGGAGGGTCAGCCCAGGAGTGCCTGATGCAATGGTTTGGCTGGGGGCCCTGCAGGCCAGGGAGGACTGTCCTGTCCCCTGTGGCCCAAAGCCTGGGGTGATGGGCAACAACGAGGGCCAGAAATGGCCCCTAAGGGGAGATGCCTGCTGGGCCAGGGCCACTGGGAGCTGCCTGGGCTGGTAGCTGAGGAGGTCCCCCGAGGAGGCCCAGCAGGATCCCACGGGAGGGTCTGCTGGGATGAGGAGGTGAGTGAAGCTTCTGGAGGAGCCCAGGCCTGGGCTTTGAGCGCTCTCCCCATCCAGCCATATCCAGGACCCTGCTGTGCACGGGGAGGGGGGCGTAGGTGGGGAGGGCTGCCTACCCCTCCCAGAGCCCAGGCCAGCAGAGAGCACAGTGCCAGGGAATGGCACAACTTCACTGGGTATCTCGGAAGCCAGAGCAGGTCCTGGAGGAGGGGAGCTGGTGCAGCTGGGAGGAGGTGATGGGGGTAGGCATGGGGCAGGCAGAGGGTGTGGCAGGACACTGGGGGTGGCAGTGCCTGGAGCCGGAGGGCAGCGGGTGCGGGGGTCAGGTCAGCGGGAGGCGGCCTAGGGAAAGCTGGGCACCCGTGGAGTGACTGAGAGGAGCTGAGCTGGGGCTGAGCTGACATGCGGCCGTCGCGTAAAGAACGGGTGGGAGGGAGCAGTTGTGATCAGAGGCAAGAACGGCATCTCTCTCTCTCTGCCCCCTTCCTCTCCCTCACTTCTCCCTGTGTTCCCTCTCCACGCTCTTCTCTGTCCCTGCAGAGTGTGGGGACAGAGGACTGGCCATTTCTAAGTGGGAGTCATCAGCCACCACTGTGCTGCACCCCATGCTGTCTTCTGGCCACTGGGTGGGAGGGTGCCAGGGCTATGAGCCCTGGGCTGTGGGCTGAGTGCCGTGGGCCGTGGGCCGTGGGCTGAGTGCTGAGGGTTGTGGACTATGGGCTGTGGGCTGAGTGCCGTGGGCCGTGGGCTGTGGACTGAGTGCTGAGGGTTGTGGACTATGGGCTGTGGGCTGAGTGCCGTGGGCCGTGGGCTGTGGACTGAGTGCTATGGGCCGTGGGCTACGGACTGAGTGCTATGGGCTGTGGACTGTGGGCTGAGTGCTGAGGGTTGTGGGCTGTGGGCTGTGTGGGCTGAGTGCCGTGGGCCATGGGCCGTGGGCTGAGTGCTGAGGGTTGTGGACTATGGGCTGTGGGCTGAGTGCCGTGGGCCGTGGGCTGTGGACTGAGTGCCGTGGGCCGTGGGCCGTGGGCTGAGTGCTGAGGGTTGTGGACTATGGGCTGTGGGCTGAGTGCCGTGGGCCGTGGGCTAAGTGCTGAGGGTCGTAGGCCATGGGCTGTGTGGGCTGAGTGCTGAGGGTCATGGATTATGGGCTGTGGGCTGAGTGCCTTGGGCCGTGGGCTGTGGGCTGAGTGCTGAGGGTTGTGGACTATGGGCTGAGTGCTGAGGGTCGTGGGCTGTGGGCTGTGTGGGCTGAGTGCCGTGGGCCATGGGCTGTGGGCTGTGGGCTGAGTGCTGAGGGTTGTGGACTATGGGCCGTGGGCTGAGTGCCGTGGGCCTTGGGCCGTGGGCTGAGTGCCTTGGGCCGTGGGCTGTGGGCTGAGTGCTGAGGGTTGTGGACTATGGGCTGTGGGCTGAGTGCCATGGGCCTTGGGCCGTGGGCTGTGGACTGAGTGCTATGGGCCGTGGGCTGTGGACTGAGTGCTATGGGCCGTGGGCTATGGACTGAGTGCTATGGGCTGTGGGCTGTGGGCTGAGTGCTGAGGGTCGTGGGCTGTGGGCTGTGTGGGCTGAGTGCCGTGGGCCATGGGCCATGGGCTGTGTGGGCTGTGTGGGCTGAGTGCTGAGGGTTGTGGATTATGGGCTGTGGGCTGAGTGCTGAGGGTCGTGGAGTATGGGCTGTGGGCTGAGTGCTGAGGGTTGTGGGCTGTGGGCTATGTGGGCTGAGTGCCATGGGCCTTGGGCCGTGGGCTGAGTGCCTTGGGCCGTGGGCTGTGGGCTGAGTGCTGAGGGTTGTGGACTATGGGCTGAGTGCTGAGGGTCGTGGGCTGTGGGCTGTGTGGGCTGAGTGCCATGGGCCATGGGCTGTGGGCTGTGGGCTGAGTGCTGAGGGTCGTGGGCTGTGGGCTGAGTGCTGAGGGTTGTGGACTATGGGCTGTGGGCTGAGTGCCGTGGGCCGTGGGCTGTGGACTGAGTGCTATGGGCCATGGGCTGTGGGCTGAGTGCTGAGGGTTGTGGGCCATGGGCTGTGGGCTGAGTGCTATGGGCCGTGGGCTGTGGACTGAGTGCTATGGGCTGTGGGCTGAGTGCTGAGGGTCGTGGGCTGTGGGCTGTGTGGGCTGAGTGCCGTGGGCCATGGGCTGTGGGCTGTGGGCTGAGTGCTGAGGGTCGTGGGCCATGGGCTGTGTGGGCTGAGTGCCGTGGGCCATGGGCTGTGGGCTATGGGCTGAGTGCTGAGGGCTGTGGACTGTGGGCTATGGGCTGAGTGCCGTGGGGTGTGGGCTGTGGGCTGAGTGCCGTGGGCCATGGGCCATGGGCTGTGTGGGCTGTGTGGGCTGAGTGCTGAGGGTTGTGGACTGTGGGCTGTGGACTGTGGGCTAAGTGCTGAGGGTCGTGGGCCATGGGCTGTGGGCTGAGTGCTGAGGGTCGTGGGCTGTGGAGTGTGGGCTGGGCTATGGGCTATGGGCCGTGGCCTGTGGGCTGAGGGCTGAGGGTCGTGGATTGTGGGCTGGGGGCTGAGGGCCGTGGGCCGTGGGCTGAGTGCCGTGGGCTGTGGGCCGAGAGCTGTGGGCTGTGGGCCGTGGGCTGAGTGCCTATCTCTCTGTGCCTCCAGCCAGCCCCCGGCCTCCCCCAGCACGCAGGAAGCCATTCAGGGAATGCTGTCCATGGCCAACCTGCAGGCCTCTGACTCCTGCCTGCAGACCGCGTGGGGCGCCGGCCAGGCCAAGGGCAGCTCACTGGCGGCCCACGGTGCCCGGAAGAACGGGGGTGGCGGCAAGAGCGCGGGCAAGCGGCTGCTGAAGAGGGCGGCCAAGAACAGCGTGGACCTGGACGATTACGAGGAGGAGCAGGACCACCTGGACGCCTGCTTCAAGGACTCGGACTACGGTGAGCCCTGTGGGGGTGCGGGCGGGCTCCGGCCCGCCCCCCTGGGAGGGGCCTCTCCGCCGTGCTGCTGGGGCTCATCCTGGTGCAGAGACGCTGGCCCTTCTTTAGGAGATCGGGAGGTCGCCTTCAGAAGCACGTAACTCAGTGGAGGGTGCGCCATTGTCACCACCCAGAAGGGAACGCTCCCTGGCCCCCGAGTCCCCCCGTCCGCGTGCATCGTGTCCTGGGTGCAGGCGGTCCTTCACGGGCTCATCGCGGCGCAGCCAGTCAGCGCGGACGGCCACACGTGCTCACCGTCGGCTGCTTGCAGTCGCCTGGTGGCTTCCTCCTCTGGGGCCCTGTGGACACTGCCGCCGTGCTCACTGGTGCAGGGGTTTTGTGTGGCCGTGGTGCCCCCGGGCAAGGACCTAGGAGGGGGCGTGCTGGGTTGAGGGTCCATACCCGTCTTGCCTTCTGAGGACCGGCCCAGCCATCCCCCACGCGGCTGTGCAGACACGTTGAGACCCCATCCACCCTGTGTGTCTCTGTGTGAATAACAACACCGAGGCCCCCGGTGGCCCACATCTGAGGGGGGCAGAGCAGGGACCCTGAGGGCATGACCCCTCACCCCCACCACAGCCCTCCAGGCTGTCCCTCAGGGGGCGCTCCAGGCTGCCCGGGGGGGGGGGGGACAGCCAGGAGTGCGCACCTGCCTGCACACCTCGGCCTGCCTCGCAGGGATGTGTAGGATGCCCTGAGCTCACACTCCTGCCCCTGGAGAGCCCTCCCAAGGGGGGCTGGCCCGGCCCCGGCTGCTGGACACAGACTGACAGCAGTGAGCGCCTTTTCTGGACTCCTGTGGGGGGCAGGGCGGGCCCCGATGGAAGGACGCAGCCTAGTGGGTCTCCCTCCTCGGAGACTCGCTGGGACGGCAGCCTCCGTCCCAGCAGCAGAGAAGGGGGCGTCTGGGAAGCACAGGGGACGCTGCAGCCAGGCTGGGGCAGTGCCCGTGGGGGTTGCTGGGGCCTCTTGTCTGGCCAGCCCCTGCTCTCCCTGGGTCTCGGGGGGCCCTTGGCCGGATGGTCCTGGGGCCGCCCGTGCCCGAGTGTGTGGCAGCGGAGCCAGAGGGACAGTGGCTCACAAGGTCGGCTGGCTGCCTGAAGCCCCCGTCCCCCATGGCGCCACTGGCTCAGGCCTTTCTGCCCCTGCCCCCCTAGTTTACCCCTCCCTGGAGTCTGACGAGGACAGTCCGGTCTTCAAGTCCCGGTCCAAGCGGAGGAAAGGCTCTGACGACGCTCCCTACAGCCCCACAGGTAGAGCTGGGCAGTGTGTCCCCCGCCCGTCCCTCGGGCTTGCAGGCTGCGGCCCTGGCTCTGTGAGGGGTGCTGGTGGGGCTGGTTGCCTCCGGGAGCCTGACTGGGGCTGCACTTTCCCCAAAGGCACCCCAGCTCCTGCGAGTGGGGTGGACAATGGGGGGCTCCCTGTGGGGCCGGTCCCTCACCTGGTTTGTCCTGAATGAGCAGCCCTAGGAAGGCCATCTCTGCCCCTGGCTGGGTCACGGCAGCCCATGGGTGGGGGTCTCGTCCACCATCTGTGTGCCCCCTTCCTGCTCTCTCCCGTCTTGTTGGCATGGGGGCCCTTCACGTCGGGCCTCATGCTGACCCTCCCTGAGTTGTGAAGAGTCCCGGAGACTCGGGCACAGACTGGCACAGGGCCGAGGGGGCTGGGGAGGGGGGTTCAGGGGCTGGGCAGCCGCTCCAAGCAGGCGGTGTTCTCTCCTGCAGCGAGGGTCGGCCCATCGGTTCCAAGGCAGGACAGGCCTGTGCGTGAGGGCACCAGAGTGGCCTCCATCGAGACCGGGCTGGCAGCTGCCGCAGCCAAGCTGTCCCAGCAGGTGAGGAGGGGCCCAGCCCGCCCAGGCTGGGAGCTGTCGCAGGCCTGGGGACACCGAGTGTTGCTGACCCCTGGGAGTGGCGGGCTGGGGAGGTGGGAGTGGCAGCACGTCCCCTGGCAGCTCAGAGCCGGGGGGGGGGCATGTCCCCTGCAGCTGAGTGCCACACGTCCTCACGCAGGGGGCACGCTGGTCCCCACACGGGCCCCAGCGCTGCTCTGGGGCTCGTGGTGAATGGGGGTGGGGCTTGGGCTGCTGCTGGGTCCAGTTCCTCAGCAGCTGAAGCCGGCCCGTGCGCTTTGTTCAAAGGAGGAGCAGAAGAGCAGGAAGAAGAAGAACACCAAAAGGAAGCTGGCTCCCAACACTCCCTCCCCCTTGGCCTCCACCAGCACCACCTCGGCCTCCACCACCCCGGCCTCCACCACCCCGGCCTCCACCACCCCAGCCTCCACCACCCCGGCCTCCACCAGCACGGCCAGCAGCCAGGCCTCACAGGAGGGCAGCTCACCCGAGCCCCCGCCTGAGGCACACAGTAGCAGCCTGGCGGACCACGAGTACACCGCGGCCGGAGCCTTTGCAGGGGCCCAGGCTGGCCGTGCCTCCCAGCCCATGGCCCCTGGGGTCTTCCTCTCGCAGAGGCGGCCCTCCGCATCATCCCCCAACAACACCGCTGCCAAAGGTACCGTGTGCGCGTGCCCTGAGCGGCCCTGCTCTGGGGTGTGCCGTAGGTGCCTGCAGGCCTGCCCCGTCCCCCGTGGCCCCATGTCTGTAGCCACATACGTGGCCAGCATGTGCAAGAAACGGTCCCTTCCAAGATGGAAAGCTGTGGTCACTCACAGTGCTGAGGCTGGTCTGGTGGCCTCGGCTTTGTGGCCTGGCTTGAAGTCGGGGTGTGGTCAGCAGTTTGCTGAGGGGTTCCAGGCTCCCCCGGGCGATTTGGCGGTGGGACTGCCGACTAGGTCCCTTGGATGCCCCCACTCTCACCCCCAGGTCCCCAGTGTGCCTGCACCCTGGCCATGAGTCCCAGCCGGCCTTGGACACAAGGAGCGTGGCTCCTGCCAGGAGGTGGGACGGGCCTCACTCTGGAGTAATGCTGTCCCCCGTCCTGGTTGCTGCAGCCTCTAAGCAGGGCCCTTCGTTGGCCGCTGGTGGTTTTGCAGGCTCAGGCCCCGCAGGCCCGTCTTCTGGAGAGGGTGGGGGCTCCAGGAGGGGCTCCTCTGGCCTCTCGCTCACCTGGCATTTTCCTGTCTTCTCGTCTGCCTCCAGGAAAACGTACAAAGAAGGGCATGGCCACCGCCAAGCAGAGGCTTGGAAAAATTTTGAAAATTCATCGGAACGGAAAACTGCTCCTTTAAAGTTTGGAAAGCCAGGATCCTTCTGCTCCGCTCAGGACCCCCGGAGCCCCGCTAGAACATCAGCCCCCAGGAGGGTGGCCACGCTGCCTCACCCGGGGGAGGGCCTGGCCCCCTCCCGGCCACCACTCCCCCCATACGAGCATCTGTTGCTTCAGCAGGCGGAGCTCACCAATGTGGACAGACGTCCTTTCTCAAGTTGCTTAGAGTGACCAGTTCCCGAAACTTGGCCCTGCCTGTTTGAGGACCATTCCAGTTTCAGGAGAGCCTCCAGGCACCCCTGAGTGTGGGTGTGATCACAGGGCTTCTGCAGCTCTGCAGGAGCACGAGTCCTTCGAGGAAGGAGTGAGCCAATGCTCACCAGGCCCAGAGTCTGAGCTGGCCACAGGCTGGTAGCCTCCAGAGGCTTAAAAAAGGCAAAGAACACTAGAGAGGAAGAGGAGGAGAAAATGGGGTATTATGTGCCCCCCTACTCTTCCCAAGTGATTCTCAGACAGTCCAGAGAGTGTGCGGCCCGGCCAGGAGAGGGGCCTCTGTGCTCCCCGGCCGGCGGGTGGCGGGCCGGATGGTGGGTGTTGTGCCCCGAATGGCCAGGGTCTTTCTCGGGACGCTGGGGCCGGCAGCAGGGTCCGTGTGTTAGTGGGTGGGGGCGCCATCATGGGGTCTCCCCAGAAGGGTCGGGCCCAGCCGTGATGTGGGGCCTGGTGGCCCGGGCTAAGCCATGAGGGTGGGCCCAACGCTGCCCCACGGGCTACACTCCGAGAAGCACTTCTCAGCCGAGGCACCCCGCCTGGCGGGGTGGATGACGACGGGGTGGCCCGAGGACGTGGGGCCCGGCACGTCTGTCTTGTCATCTGTCCGTGTTTTGTGTCGAGTCCCCGGGTGGACCCCAGACCGAACGTCCGCCCGTCGACACGGAGGGGCTGGAGTTGTTTCTCAGGCAATCCTGTATTTTAATTTTAGATGTATCTCCTGAAGCATATTTTTCATAGAATGTAGCGTGTAAATAGCTTTTTAAATAACTTCTTTTTTATAAGAGTAAAAGTATCTTTAGGGATTTCTTTCTAGAGAGTCTGTCATTAACATTTATACGAGTTTTTTGCCGAGTATGATGAACACTTGGGTTTGCCTCCTTCTTTCTGTTTACTGTTCCCGTTGGTGTTACTTTCTTCTTTTAGGAACTAAGGTATTGCCTGAAAAACACGTGTCCCTGGAGTCTTCTGTCTGTCTGGGCGGCAGCGAGCCGCACGAGATGGGAGAGGCCTCCACGCGGACGCCAGCTCTTTGTTTCCTTCTCGTTGGCGAAGGGGGTGGGGATGCAGTTATTTTACTTAGCACCTTGTGAAGTGTTTCTGTGTTTTGTGATGCTGTAATTTATTAATGTTTGTAGCTTTTTATATTTGTACATTTCTTATGAGCTTGGTTTATACGCCCGTCCCTGGGCGCTGAGTCCGCGAGGCCCGGCCCCAAGGCTGGCGGGCAAGCTCGCTGGGCGCCGGCCGCGCCCGCTGTGCCGTCCCGGCGTCCCCGAGGCTTCCTTTCCCGTCCTCGTTGAACATTTATATACTCTAACCCGGCCATCAAGCTGTTCTCTCTCTCTCTCTTTTATTTTTTAAAGTTTATTATTATTATTATTTGGCAACATGTACATTTCTAACAAAGTTTACCGTGGCTATTAAAGTGTTTTATTTCCCAATTCATATTACTCTTGTATCGAGTCCATGAGATCTAAGACAGCTTAGATCAAAGTTTTAAAAGAGTAAAAATATTTCAGGTTTTGTACAGAACCATGTCTGTGTCATTCCTGCTCACCCGGCAGCGTCTACTCCTGCGGTGGGGGTGGTGGGAGGGAGCGCGGGGGCTGGCGGCCCGGCCCGGTGGGGCGGCCAGCATTCTCCTGGGAAAGCACGCCCTGCCCTGCGGCCCAGAGGCACAGTGCCCCGCACCAGCCTGCGGGAGCGTCCCCGGGAGCCTCCAGCCCTCACAGCTGAGGGCATCGGTGGGCGGTGCATTCAGGTGGGCTGTTGCTGGCAGTGCGTCGTGTGCCGTGTGTTACGGGGCACAGACACGTAGAACCCGGTGCCCTTGTTGCTTCTTCCGACTGAGCTTTGGTTGCCTCCATCCAGGTAGACCTCCTGTAGCCCGCACTGCGGCTGAGCGCCTCCAGGACCTCAGGGGAGCTCAGGGTGGGTCAGGGTGGGCACTCCGGGCACCTGTCCTCCTGCCTGGAAGGGGCTGCCCCTCTGTTGGGCATCTCAGACATGGCTGGCCCTTGGACGTGGCCTTCTCCCGGAGCCCCCGACCGCCCAAGTCCCCTCTGCCGGATCCCACACAACGCGGTAACCTCTGCACACCCCCGGCCCGGGCGCTCACCCTGCGTGCAGCTGTCGCATCCCGGCCCAGATCCAGCCAGAATTTACCCTGTGGCCCCTCCGGGGGCCCCCACACTGTCACCCCACAGCCGCCGGGTGCCTGGGCCCGCATCCTGGAGGCTGGGCCACCTGGCTACTGCTGGGTCCCCACCTTCGCGCGGCTGTCGGGATCGGACCCTCAGGGGCTGGCTGGGGGCTGGGGGCTGAGGCCCAGGGCCCGGGGGAGGCTCCCAGGTGCCACTCAGCATCCCCTCGGCCCCAGGCCGGACCTGGGCTGCACCCCGGAACCCTGTGCCCTCACCGGGGCCCGGCCGCCTATGCGAGGCCCCCTCATGGCCCCTGGCTGGGTGTGCCTGCGCCAGGGCGGCGGGGCGGGAGCGGCCGCGACGGGCGGGGTCTCCTCCCTTCTCCAGGGGACGCTGACAGCCCCAGACGGTGAAGTGGGAGGGGGTCCCGAGGGAGCGCCCAGCACAGCCTGCACGCCAGCCCCTGCCCGACGGCCTGGGGGCACCGCTCTGGGGGCCCGGCCAGCGCGCCCAGGGGCCCCAGGGGCGCTGCTCCGTCCCTTCCCACGGACCGCCTGGCTCTCGCGCCGCGCCGCTTCCTCCGGCCCGTTTCCCCGCCGGCTCCGGGGCTCCCTGCGCCAGCACGCGGGCGGCCTCGCGGCCCGAGGCGGAGCCCCACCCCCAGAGCCGCGGCCACGCCCGGTCCCCGAGGCCACGAGCCCGGCGGCCCGTGTCGCTCCTCCAGAGCCCCGCGCCGCGGCCGCGCTCCCGGGGGCCGACGCGAGGCCCGCCCCGCGCCCCGCGCCCCGCGCCCCGCGCCCCGCGCCCCGCGCCCCGCGCCCCGCGCCCCGCGCCCCGGCCTGGCGCACGCGGGCCGCCGAGCGGAGCGCCGGCGGGGAGCCGCAGTCCCCGCCCCAGCCGGCCGCCCCGGCCCCGGCCCGCCGTGCACTTGGCGGGAGCAGACACCAGGTTGCACGCCCGCCCTCCGGAGCCGCGTCGTCTGCGGGGCCTGGTGCGTCCGGCCGGCACGCGCGGCGCCCGGTGCCCAGCGCCTGGAAGGGCACGCGCCGCTCGCGACCCGGCGGTCGAGGTCCAGCCGGACTCCGCGGTCGCAAACAGCGGCTGTGTGCCGGGCGCTGTGCCGAGAGCCTTCCGGAGCCATCGTCGAGGCCCACGAGAAGCCCGTTTCGCCGAGGAGGCCCCCGAGTTCAGAGGAGGAGAGCCCAGGCCTTGCCGGCGCCGCTCACACGCCAGGTACAAGGGGCTTCTGAGAGGTTCCCTGGAGCGCCCGGGGGAGGAAAAGGTCTCTAGCAGCATGAGCAAAGGCCCTGAGGCAGCAGGCGTCCCTCTAGGACTCTGTCCTCCCCCAGGGCTCCTCTCCCCTGGAGCCCCTCCCTGAACACTCCCTCCCGGGGGGCCCCTCCACCCTGGCCCTCGGCCCGGTAGGCACACGTCCCCATTGCGTCCGTGCAGGTGGGAGCTCAGCGCTGTGGGCACGGCCGCCCCCTGGGTGCCTGTAGCCTGGGGAGGAGCCCGTCCCAAACTGGGCAGGAAGGGTCCCTCTTGGTGCCTGGGGGCAATACCGAGAGTGACCACCAGGGGGCAGGGGAGGGCCGGGAACCAGGCTCCGCGGTCGGTGGAAGCCTGAGTTCAGCTCTGCTGCGGCCCAGGGCGACGGTGGCACGGCCGGCCTAGGGAACAGCAACGGCCCGGGAAGTGAGTGGCCAGCGCGCTGCAGTGCAGGGACGTCCGCACCATCCTAAACCACGTAAGTGGCCGGTGTGCCAGGACCTGTGTCCGCACCAGCCCCGCATTGGTGCGTTCACGCTCGCTGCTGTCCCCTCTGGAAGGTCCTAGCACTGTCTTTGTCTTACCAATGGGGAAACTGAGGCACGCAGTCTGGCAGCTGGTGGAACTGGGGTTCAAGTCCAGGCGGGACAGTTCCTGGGCCCCAGGAGGAGGAGCTCTGCGAGAGAAGGGGGTTGCTGTGCAAAGGCCCTGAGGTGGGGACAAGGTGGGGTGCCATCTGAGGATGGCTGGAGCAGGGGGCCAAATGCAGGGGAGCGGCCCCAAAGTTGGGCAGGGCAGCAGGGCCAGGCCACGCTGTGGCACCTGGAGCCGTGTAAAGGGCACCGTGCCGTCCCCTCCCCCGGCTCTCCCCTCCACCATGAGGGTCTCTAGTTGTGCAGGCTGCAGGCCCTCTGGGCCCTGCCCACCCCACCTCTGCACAGCCCTGAGCAAAGAGCCCTCTTTGCAGCTAGGGACACTGAGGCAGATCCACTGCAGGGGGTCTCTGCCCTCCTTGGGTGTAGGGAGGAGAATCAAGAGGGCTCCCCAACCAGGGTTTACAAAAGGATGCTCCTGGCGTAAAACTTCAGGCTGCTTCCCAGGCCTGTGAAAGCAAGTCTGCTTCACAGTAACTCCCAGCGGTAACGATGGCGTGAGATTCCTACCGAAGTCTGTGCTGCCAGAGTGGCCGCCTTTCCGGAGATCCTACTGTGTGCCGGGCAGCATGCTTCAAGCTTTCCCACCACGAGTCGCTTACCACTGTGCCTCCAGCTCGGCCGGTAGGGAGGAGGCTTGGACCCTGGGGCTGGGAGATGGCCTTTGAGCCTGTGCAAAGGCCTTGGGGCAGGAGGGAGCTTCCTGAGGGATAGCGGGGCACAGTGTGGGTGGAGAGCTTGGCAGGGCCAGGGTCCCTGCAAGGTTTTGTCCCTTCCAGGCCTTGGCCCAGGAGGCTTGCCTGGATGAGTGGCTACACCACTGGCCTGAGGAGCCCTTGGTGGGCATTCCTTGCCTGTCTGCGGGACCCCAGGGAGGCCTCAGCTCCCTTCCCACACAGAGGGGCCACAGGCCTGCCCACACCGAGGGCCTGTTGGCTGTGTGATGGTGGCCAGTCACTTCCTGTCTCTGGGCCTCTTCCGCCGGCCGACATGGAGCGGAGGGACAGAGGAGAGGCCTCAGCGGGAGCTGAGAGGGAGTGTGTCCCCACCGGCTTGCCCTCCCTCCTCGCTGCCACAGCCTACGGAAGAATGCCCTCATGGGGTTCCGGTCACAGCAGGATACGGGCGGCCTTGGGCGGCCAGGCGTGGCCCCTTGGCCTGTGTCTGCTGAGTCGATGCTCACTTAATTCACTTCCACCTCCTACTTTGAGTGCGTCCTTACTTTTCACATCCCCAGAGCCTGGTGGACAGAGGGACCTGGGTGGGGCGGCCGGGCTGTCGGGCAGCCTGACAAATGACCTCCTTCCTCAGCCGCCGGCCTGCCTTTCCCAGGCCAAGTCCCGCCGGCCGCCTCATCCAAACATCCCTGGGGATGCCACCTCAGCAGAAAAATGATGCTGTTCCATTAACATCTGACACGGATTTGCAGGCCCCAAACAGAAGAGCACGCACGTAAACACCCGGCTCAGAGCGGGATCCTCGTAATTAATTGTCCGCCTGCGTGCCCGCCGGCCTCCCCCGAGCTCCAGCCAGTGTTATTTCAAGATCGCAATCCCTCCCGGCCCCCCGCAAACTGCATTTCCCAAACAGCGGATGTGCCTGCTTGTAGGAAGGAGGAGAGGGAGGATCTTGGTTCTGTGGGCCTCGACTTCCTCCCTGTGAAACGGACCATCCACCAAGGTGGCCACGTCCACGTAGCTACTCCAAGCCCTGCTCCTTTGTCCTTTGGATCCTGGGGCTCCTTCTCCCTGCACCCCTGGCCTGGGTTGGTTCTGGCTTTATCAGATCATAGCACCTGCCAGCATCCTCAGCTGTCCCAGGAGCCCCCACATCGGCCCTTCTCAGCCCTCCTCGGGACCCCCTGCACCAGCCCTTCCTCCCCGGGGCCTCCCCCCACACCAGCCCTCCCTCCCCGGGACCCCACACACACCAGCCCTCCCTCCCTGGGACCCCCACACACACCAGCCCTGCCCCCCCGGACCCTCCCACACAAGCCCTGCCCCCCTGGGAACCCCCCCCACACACTGGCCCTGACCTGTCTCTCTCTCTGATTTCCTTTCTTCTGATCTCAACATTCAGCCTCATACACTGTCTGGTCGCTGCCCAGCTCAGTCACCTTCTGTGGCTCCCCACTAACTACCTATGGGGTTCCCCACATCTCTTGATCCTCTCAGGGCATCTGCTGGGTGGTCAAAGTGGCCCCATCCCAGCCCATGTCCCTCTGCTGGGTGCTGGGGCTCAGTGGCTGCTAGGCTGTGGGAGAGCCAGGTGGGCTGAAAGACCAGGGACCTGGGTGGAGGGAGGGACAGGGAGGTGGGGGGGATTGTGAGGAAGGGGCTCCAGGCAGAGGGATGTGTGGTGTCGGGGGCAGGCCTGGG